GCTGTTTCGAGAGAAATTAGATATTTCATCCACGTGACGGTGGTTCGGGACACACACGCAGGTATCGGGAGAGGTATACGGTCGTATCACAGAAGCCTGTGATCCCCTGGAGAGACGACATCGAATGCATAAAAGAGCTGGGACTTTCGAAGGAACCGAAAAGATCTGTTCGAGTAGCCTGCTCCGTCAAGGTCCTCCGGGGAAGAACGATGACCGAAACGAGAGAGAGAGAGAGAGACAGGAAACGGGAGTGAGGGAAGAACGAAAGAAGGGAAAGAAAGGAAAAGAGAGAAAGACAGGCAGCGGAACAGAGAAAGAAGTTAGCTGTTAGAGAAAGGCAGACACGAATGGTTCTCACAAAAGACGAGCAAAGACACGTTATCGGCTCCGATCTCCTGGCTCACGTACCTAATGCTTTGGCACACTTTGTTCCTCTGCGAGAGGCAACCGTACCGAGGGAAACCGTACCGAGGTGTCGATCGACTCCACTGGGTCGCACGTCCTCGAGGAACGATATCACTGACACCGTGCACAAGGCGAGCAACTCAAAACCACATCACATCAGCGTCCATCGCGCGTAGTCATGCCGGAGGTAATGCCTGCTGCTGCAGTTTCACCGAACTGCGTGAAAAAAAGTCGAGCGATTACGAGGCACGTCGATGGCTGGTTCTTTTCAGTCTCGAACGCTTAACGTACCCGAACGCTTATGCTCCGTCGATAGATGACGACGAAGAAGAAGAATCTGTTACACCACCACGACGACGACGACGACGACGACGACGACGACGGGGAAAACAAGAACGACGGGAAACTCCAACGACCACGCGCGTTCCTTCTTTTCGCGACGCCACGAAAGAATCTCGCGTTTTACGGGGCAACCGGAGTGTGTCCCGCGGAGCTAGCCGCCGATTCCCGGCGCGGGAGGATGCAAGGACAAAGAGACGAAAAAACGTCTCTCTGGTCGAAGCGGAGGGGGTAGCTCTCTGGCAGGAGAGAGGCAGACGC